ACCAAGGGCTCAAGTCAAAAGCAAATGTTTTGAGAATTATGAGGGCAACAAATGTACAAATGTGCTTGACACAATGGCTGTATGTGTGGATTGTGATAAGAGTTGTATGAGCACCCAATAGAATGATTTTTTTAAATTAAGTCCATTTATTTTTCTTTTGTTGTTGTTAGTGCTTTAGGTCTCATATCTAAAAATAAATTATTACTATATCCAGAGTCAATAAGATTTACAATTGTATATGAACACCCAGTTTGTGGAGGGTTATGGGAGACTGTGGGAGTCAAAAATCCATCTGCAGAGTATCTGGTCAGAATGAGCCACTGGTAGATCCACTCTAGTCACAGACCAGAGTCTTGATCAGCCTTACTATCAGGCAGAGACCACTGTAATCTTGATTATGCTGGATCGAATGAGACACTTGGCCAACCTGAATTTGTTCTGGGTGTAAGTATCCCTTAGATGTTCCATGACAGAAATGTATTCCCTGGTGTTTTCATTATTGTTGGGGGTCTTTTCCTTCTTACATATTATTAGTATTTTTGTCTGTTTACTACTATGTTTTTACCCTTAACACCTTAGCATGATTTTTAGTTCATTTTCTGTTGGGTCTAGAATAATGATAAAAGATAAAAGGGAATATAGGGAATACAGGGGTGGGGTGGGGGAAATAGGGTGGGAAAGGGGATTTCAGGAGTAACTAATGAAGACGGGAGGTGGGTGGAGCATTAGAGTGGATTGTGATTGCATGAATCATTTTAAAAGCGATTTAACCATGGTGGGAGGAATGCTCTAAAATTGATGTGGCAGTGATTGCACACTTCTCCTTGATATGATTGAACTATTGAATTACATGATATATAAATTACTTGCGAATAAAACTGCTAAGAAAAACTCCACTAATAATGAGTAAAAGGATGAAGAATATCTTCTAAAATTGATTGTGGTAATGATTGTACAACTCTTTTTGATATGATTGAACTATGAAATTGTATGGTATGTGGATGAAGTACCAGTAAAGCTGTTTAAAAATAATTTTTAAAAAGATAAGAAATAAAACCACAACCCAAAACAAAGAAGTCCAAAATAAATTTACTTTTTGTGCCTTTTATATTGCTTGTTCTCTCTTTCTTTTTTGATATGGGCTAAATATTTCTTTGCCTTATTGAATGCCAATTAATTATTTACTTGGACATTAATTTTTTTGAAAAACATTCTACAGGCATCCTTTCTTCTTAAATATACACCTAAGTTAATATTAATAAAGTAACATTGGATTTGTGGAGGATAAAATATTTACCAGTATGTTTTATTCAAATAATTTTATAGTTTTTGTTATTATATTTAAGTCTTAGATCAAATTTTAGTTAATTTTTGCATTTGGTTATAGTTAATATTCCTAATTTTGTTACATATTTAATATTCACTATTTTTTAACCTTGTGTTGGATATAAAATATTCATTTTAGGGAGGTCTAGTCTTAGCCCAAGAATCCCAGACGGCATAGGGGCATTGGGCTGCCAGCCCCAAAGTCAACAGTGTGAAACCACAAATTGCTTTTTAGGAGGAAGATGACATTTTCTACCCCTAAAATGTATGGTCTCAGAAACCCACAGGGTAAGATCTCCTCTGTTCTGTAGGGTCATTGTGAGTAGCAATTGACTCAACGCTCATGCCTTTTTTTTGAGCCTTAGCCTTGGTGGTGTAGTGGTTTATGTATTGGGCTGCTGACTGTAAGTTCAGTTAGCAGCAAGGTCAGCAGTTCAAACTCACCAGCTGCTGTGAGAAAAAGATGAGACTGTCTGCTCCTGTAAAAATATACGGTCTCAAATCCCTTACAGAGCAGTACTGCTCTCTCCTGGAAGGTCACCATGAGTACAAATGGACAGTCTGGTGGACACCCTCCTATAAAACCATGCATGATGACATTTATGGTACATGGAAGAAACCCATGTTAAATGATGAGCTCTTTGGTTAAAATCCCTGCTGCAAAGGATAGTATAACGATGAATATGGTGTCATGAAATCCTTGCATGGTGATGCTGGCAGAAACATTGCACATTGGTAAGGTAAATTCACATAAGTAATAAGGCCTTCTCTGAGGAAGTGAAGAAGAAAAGTTTGGTGAATAGCTGAGAATTCTTTGAAAAGAAAGATCTGTATGGGAAAGGAAGGGGGAAGGGGGAACTGACAGCAATGATGGATGTATACTCCCCCTCGAGGAGGACAAACATCAGAAATGTGGGTGAAGGGA